CATTGACCATTATCTGGTTCTTCATCGAAACTCCCCACCTTGCCTTCATGCTTATACTGATGCGGATTGGGCTGGTGATCATGATACTTATCTTCCAACTTCTGGTTATATAGTTTATCTTGGTCACAATCTCTTGTCTTGGAGTTCTAAAAAATAACAAGGAGTTGTTAGATCATCAACTGAAGCTGAATTTCGTGTTGTTGCATCCATTATTGTTGAGTTACTTTGGATACAATCATTGCTAACTAAATTATGTGTCACCCTACATTCTTCACCAAAAATCTATTGTGACAACATGAGTGCTACTCAATACTCCAGGAACCCAATCTTTCATTCACGAATGAAACACTTAGCTATAGCCTTTCATTTTGTCCGTGAACATGTTCAACTTGGGAAGCTTCGAGTTCAACACATTCTTGGAGATGACTAGTTAGCCGATGCTCTCACTAAGCCTCTTGCTTTAGCCATATTATCCACGTTATTGTCCAAGATTGGCCTAGTCTCACGACCGTCCATCTTGCGGGGGATATTAACAGATAATTTCAACCACAGTTTAGTAGATAATTCCAACTTCAATTTGTTTTTGTGTTTTTAGAATATTGTTAGTTAGTCTTAGTTTCAAATTATTGTTAATTTTTCCTTATTATTATCTTTATCCTATCATAACTTTAGGAGGTTGTTTTGTTTAGTTGTTACAACAATCTCCCTTCTTTATTATTATCTTTATCCTAACATAACTTTAGGAGGTTGTTTTATTTAGTTTTTACAACAACCTCATTTCTTTGTCTTATTTTCCTATAAAAAGGAAGTCATTAATAATTCAATAGAATAAGTTGAATTGTTTATCTTATACCTAGAGCCATGAGAGTGTGGATTCTCTCCATTACTGGAGGGTCTGGTACCTTTAAGAGATAAAGACATGTGGCAAAACAAAATTCAATAGTCATGATTTTAAATGGAAATAAAGTGAAAAATAAATAATAATAAATGATAATTTCTATCTTTCTCTTTCATCTTCCCCTCTTTCTCTTTCATGAGTTTCATCTTATATCTATCATTGTTTTCCCACAACCCAGTGGTCATCTACATCTTTAAAATCCACAATCAACCATTTTTTAACTTCTCTGCAATTATTGGTTGAATTTATAAAAAATTAATTGTCAATACTTCTTAAACTTCTCTATTTCTTCCTATTTTTGGTTTGTCAAATTAAGTTATCCTTAAAACTTTAAATTATGTTTTATAGTTTTTTCTGTTATTGATTTCCTAAATAATATATAATATCGTAGGGAACAAATGTATAAATTATTTACAATTATTTTTGAATTTATGAATATTCATGTATCTACTAGGTACTCAAAGACCTGATGATAGTATACCCAATAAATATTAGCACAAATCTAAAATAAGTACAAGTCCAAAATTGAAACAACGAGACATATTCGAGTAATGCACTATCCAAACTGATCAAGAGTCAGTGCATACATATATATACAGAGGTAAGAGATGTAGCTTGTGTCAGAAAATGTTCCAGAGCTGTAGGGTAAGTCCGTAAATACATCCAAGTGTTTGAGATCTATGTCTAGATTTTTTTGGGTAAACGGTTCAATGTGAAGAAAGCGTGGGGTCCCATAATACGTGGCGGAAATATAGTGTGATAAATGAAGATGCCTGATTGAAGATAGAAAAGGGTGTAGAAATAAAGTCACAACCCATTTCTATTGGGCTCCACAATGCATTGAGAGGTCATCTTCAACTTTCCTTTTCTCTAATTTATAAAAAAAATAATATATCTTCTTACTAAATCCTCTTATTAATCTTCCTATCTATAAAAAAGTTGTAAACTAATCACTAATAAATAAAGTATCACTTTGTAACATATGTCACTTTTTTGTGGTTATAAGGATTAATAGGAGAATTTACTAGGATGATATAACATTATTCAATTTATAATCACGAAAATTCATTTTAAATTTAAAATTATCTACAAAGGTCCAACAAAATTTATTACAAATCTAATATTAGGTTTTTATTGACAATTACACGTGTGTGTGTATATATAAACTAATGGGAATGTTATTTGTATAGTTGATGATAATTTTTTTACAATTTTTTTTAATCTTTTTTACTTTTTCTTCATTTTTATTTTCACAAGTATCAAAATCTTCCTTCATTTAGAATTATCATATATTAATTGTCAAAATAACAATACTGAAATTTAAGTGAATTGCATCTAAACAATTCACCACAAATAGAATATGTTTTTCTACTAAAATATGCTAACTTGTTGCATCTTATTATAGTATTAGATAATCTTTTACTAAAGATTTTTTCAAAGAGACAGAAAACATTTAAATTATAATATTATAATATATTTTAAAAATTATGATAGTTAACCCCTCTTATTGGTATATGTATTTTTGGTAAAATTGTTTTATAATAAAAAATAATAGAGGTAATATGTATTACCAACTCTCAATATCTTTTTTTTTTTACTTTTAACTAAATTTTAACCTTCAACAATTTTTTAAATCTTCAACCATTTTTTCTCTCTTTAAAATGAAATCAGGTCAATTCATTTGAATTATAATTTGCTTAACTACTTAAGTTATATAAATCTAAATTATTTAATATAATAAAGAGAAAAAATGTATCACTACATTGTCTATCTTTAATTATCATCGACTTTTCAAAAAAGTAATACAAATGATATTAATAGATGATGAATTGAATGTATATAAATTTTTACACTAACTCTATAATAAATATCATCTTATAACTTAATCATCAAGTTTATATTAAATTTTTATCTATTTCCGCATACAGACCACATTAAAAAGTATATTTTAGATCATTTAGGAAAATATTCCCAACTTTTTTAAATAAATGTATACCTTTAAAGACATACCTCTCTGAAAAAAGAGAGAATCCAACTCATGATAGCATGAATTTATAGCTCTTATTAATTTTTTACCTTCTAATTAACTAACTTTTTAACCAATTTTATCAAGTAGAATCTCAAATACAGCAGAACACGTGATCAGCATTACAATTTACAAGAGGGTGTCTGTAGAAACCAGTTCCCAATACATATCGTGACATACAACCTTTCTGGTAAAGATTATGTGAATTGCCTCATTTCTCATTCATATGAAACACGTATATATAGTTACATGAAGTGAATGAAACTATGTAACAGATTGTAAAGCTGTTCCTAAATTATAGGAGCTAGAGATAGATTGCAGAGCTGTTCCTAAATTATAGGAGATGGAGATAGATTGCAAAGTTGTTCATAAATTATAGGAGCTGGAGATAAGACTAAGCAACATATTATATATTGTTGCAACAAATAGAGAATATTGTGGGTTGATCCTTATCTTTTATCCGGCACGGGAAATAATTGAAATATGACTCTGGAATTTTTCTAAATAATTTTTATTTACTTTATATTGAAAAATAATATGAAATTATGGCTATTGAGTGATTATTTTTGGCACCTGTCACAATCCAATATAATATTGACCTATTTAATACTGAAGATGATCCATATCCAATCCAAAAGTGGTACCTAGCCTGGCCTCCACGGCCCAGTTCACCAAGTTAATATCATTTTTCTACTATACCATAAAAAAGTAACATGTGTTATAAATGATATTTTATATATTAATGATAGATTTATAAATGACTTATATTACTTTATTAATATAAAAAGGTTTATACCAGTCTTGTGATAAACGGATCGGACCGGACAGTCCGACCGGTTCGATCGCTGACCGGACTTAAAAACGACTCCATTTTGTAGTCTTAACCGAATGAGTAGTTGGACCGCTTTGAACCGGAGAAATTCCGGTTCGACCGTGCTAAACTCGGTTAAACCGGAATAACCCATGAGGAAAACCGGACGACTCACTTAAAATTTTAAAAAAATGAAACATTACTCTAATGTTTTGTTTATTTCGGTCCAAAAATAATAGAGAGATGATACTTCAACATAATTATATAAAATTTACATTTATATATAATTATAGATAAAAATTATTAATTATATTTAAAATCATCCGGTCCGACCGAACGGCTTAACTGGTTAAACCGGTGACCTAATACAGAAGTTCTTCCGGCTTGACGTCCGGTTCGAATTTCATTTATACAAAAAAAATGTATAGGAAAATATATCAATTACTCTTATTCTTTTTTGCTATACCACTTCTTCTCGTTAATTATTAGTAAAATTTATAGTTTAAAATAATAGGTTGTTGGGTAGTTTACCTGGAAGGGCATTGAAAAATGTGAGGTGTGTGATAGGGAAAACTCCACTGGTTCTTTTTCAAAGTACTATATATAACTGAATGAATTACCTTAGTTTACATCATACAAAATATATAGGGTTTCTTTTCCAAGTGCCTTAGGCTCATTGACTAAGTTTCTTTGCTTTTCAGTGTGGTTATAGTTGAAGATGAGTTTTCATCTTCATTTATTAGTTAGCTTATATTTTATGAGTGGTTTTATATTATTTCTTCTATGTTCTTTTAGATCTGAGATTTTGGTTTATGTTTACCTCTTGTTTTGTTTTTTTCTTTATTTCTTTGTGATAAAGGCTAATTGGGTCTTGCATCTTGAACCAACTTCAAGGTTCTGAAGTTTTTTTTGTGTCTTGGGCATGCACATATGTAACTATGAACTTTTTGTGATTAGGTGTTTATTTTTTGGCTTATTTTCCTCATCTTTGGGTATGTTTCTTTGTTGATTTGGATGAAGCTAGTATAACTTAAATGGTTGTAGTGATAGGGTTTTTTTTTGGGTAGTCATAGTCAATAATATTTTCTCATATTTTGTGTATTGAACTAATCCATTCTAACAAGAATCACTTCTAGATATCGAACATTTGATATTTTGGTCTATTTGATGATTTAGTGAGTCCTTACATAACTAGATTAATGTCTTGTTAGTCGTATTCTTAGGCTTTGATGCTATTTATGTATGAAATTAAAATAAAAAAAGGGTTTTATGGAGTAGAGCTCCTTGAAGTCCAATGAAGGTTGTTGCAAGGTTGATTATGCTGCTAAGCTATGGATCCCATAGTTGTACACACATAACATACTTTTGTGGTAGTTCTATGGCTTCCATATCTTGGGAGCTTCATTACCTATAGTTAGATCCTTATTTGGATTGAAGGGAGCTCTACACTTATCTCATTTTATGCTTAATTTAAAGGTCGTTTATTACATTTGTTTTAAACTAATTTACATTTATTTATGCACATAAGTTTTATATAATATACTATTCTTGATCTCTTTCTCTTACCAGGAGGTAAAACACTTGAACATGGTTAGCATTCACGGATCGTTAGGTATATGAACTACTTTGATATGAAACCTTTTTATTTGTGACTTGTGTTTATTTTTGTCATGAATTCATAGACTAAGAAGATATGTTTGAACATGTTTTTTAATTTATTCACATTTATGCACATAAGTTTTCAAGATAGTTTCTTTAAAAATAGCAATAGAAATAGTATTTTTTTTTTCTGTAACCATTATATTGGAACACATTATGATGTAAATTTTTCACACGGTTCGTCAATCATAGTATAATATTATATCATTTTTTATGATAATTATGAAGAAATATTTATTGAGTGTTGTTGGATAATGGTTATACGGTTCTCTAACTTTAACAAAAAAAAGATATTCTATATGTTTTTATCCTAAATTCTAAAGCAAAAATTCCTTTTTTTTGTTGAAGAAAATATGAGAATTTTGAACAAGTGCTTTCAACAATTTCCTTTTCGCGTAGGAGTTTTGAACAAAAGCATTATGCAATATGATGAGAATTTTGTAAGATGCTTTTGGATCCTGCACATTGGTGCTTTTGTTCTTTCTGTTTTGTTCAATATTTGTTCACTTTATTATCATCTAATAATGTCAAATCACATCATTTATTAAATATTTTAATATTTTTGGTGAGGTTAACCCTTAACCAATTTAAATAAACTGTGATTGTTTAAGAAGGATTGCTTAATGAGTTTTTATAGAGTATGATTATTTTAAATTATTAAGTTCTAAAGCAACACTTAAATGACTTGGTCCTAAATGATTCCTAATGACACTAAGTAGGCAATAATTGTTTTTTTTTCTACTATCAAGATATCTCATTACTTTTTGCTATAGAATAATTCATTTCGGTGTGTTTAACTGTCTATTCCAATAAATATATACCATAAGAATTAAATTCTTGGATTTTTGATTATCTTAATCTTATTGGGTTTTATACCACTAAACCAAGGAACCAACTCTTTATTGGTAGGCAATAATTGTTTAATAATGAGGGTATTGAGCTAAGACAAGGATCATCTGTACCAAAATTTTCTTATATTCATTTACATAACCAATCAAACTTCATAAAATAATATTAAAATATTAAATTCTGATTTTGTTATTTATATTTTTACTTAATGAATTTTTTTGATTAGTTTGGTACACCAAATGAGACATAAATGAACTCAATCCATTTTTAGCTAATCAAAGTAACCAACTTTTATTGGTAGGCAATAATTGTTTAATAATGAGGGTATTGAGCTACGTTTATTATTACAAATTTTAAATGTTTATCTAGATGGTTTAAGAGTGATTTAGGTTTAAATGTACTTTAAATTCCACATCCTTTATATATTTTTGATATTATAATTTTTTTTCAATTACGAATTTTGTATTAGAGACTGTTAGGAGTCACATATTGAGTAGAATAATAAACTCAATGTGATACTTAAATTATGAGGCTCTCACCTAATAGATTAGTCTTTTGGGTTAAGTTCTCCTCATGTGTTTAAGTCCTAACAATTGATATTTTCATTGAGAGTTATGTCACGAAAAGAGCTACCTATAGGATGGACTAAAGTAAATTACTAAATACTAATAGGTGAGTGAAGCCGCTAACAGAAAAATGGCTACCATCGAGTCATTGTCGATAGAGTGAAAGTCGTCGTGGACGTCGACCCTTAAAGGGAACGACAATGTTATGAGTCTTACATTGAGTAGAATAACAAACTCAATGTGATACTTAAGTCATGAGACTCTTCTACCTAATAGATTAGTCTTTTAGGTTGAACTCTCCTCATGTGTTTAAGTCTTAATAATTATTTAACTCCTCACTATAACATTATTTATTATTCTATTTTCCAATTATTGATTTATGTTCCTATGTAAATTGAAATAATATTCTAATGATTTTTGTAACTATGTGAATAAATTTTAAAATAAAAAATAGTGAATTAGTAAAATAATAAAAATATAATATTTTTGCACCGTTCCTATGGAGATTTATACATAAGTAATTTAACATTGTACAGTATTACTGCACACATTTTAACATTAAATGCATTATATTTATATTAAAAAATCAGTAATCACATTGCTCACTCGTTCCTAAGTAGTCTTTTTCTATCTAGAATTCTAGATTTTGAAGGGTCGTTAAGAACCAACTAGCACATAAATCTCGCTTCAATTCCGCCACTTAAAAAGTTTGCTGCAATTGAAAATCATTACTCGAAAGTAGAATATGTTGGAATTTCTAACAATTTATGGGTCACAAATATAATTCTATAATTGTGTTATAACCATTATGTATTTAGCCAATATATATAAAATGGTTTTATGGATTAATTTGGTGGCTAAGAGCATATGTGTCATGAAATATTATGAGTGTAGATACCTTCGGGCAATTTCTAGTTTGATGAAGGGACTGGATTAGAATATTGCAACTTAAGTGGTAACCGTTAATGTTACCTTTATGGGTTATGGTCCCCAGTTGCAGAGCAACGAGTTTTATTGACTAACTGATGTTACAATGATTGGTTTATGAGGATATTTGACTTATGTCACAAAACCAACATATATAAAGAAAAGAGAAAGACATAAGTAGAGAGCCTCTCATTCTCACAAAATATTCAGGAACATCAGGAGCACTCTCGTTCTCTCTGGATTCCCCTCTAGCGGAGCGAACGGAAAACCAAGCTCTAACAACCGGAACATCCTACAACCCACATACCTCGGAGCATTCAGAATGGCTAACCAAGGTATGCGTTTTCTTCTTCACTATGAAACCAATTGGGATTTTCTTCGGTCTGGAGGATTAGGATTGTTCCATTAGGGTTTATGTATGGGCATAAACATTTGGTTTCGGAACAATGTCCTAATCATTCTGTTTCAGGGATACGATTAGGATTAATCGGAAATATCCAACAGAATAGTCTCAATTAAATTTGAGACATTTTTAACTATAACCTACTCTCCAACAATAGAAGCTAAAGTTTCATCCCAGACTTGCTTCAAAGAATTATAAGTAGGAACATGTTGCACCTTGTAAGGATAATGAGTCTAATGATTCATGTCTATTGCCTTTATTTTTAATGTTACTTTTTGTTTGTTTGTTATTATTTAAGAATATGGAACTTTTGATATGTGCTGATCACTTGTCTCGAAAGTTGTGTTATTTTCAGTTTCAAGATAATCATATTGGCACATAAATAGAAATTTTTAAAAAATAAAAGATAACAAAAAGTAATATTCTAATTAACTTAAGTCAAGGAATAAGACATCATTCGAGATAGGTGATCAAAATGTCAATGTTTAATGTGTAGACAATTTTAACCAAAAACATTCTCTTGAATTAAGATTTAAGTTTGGTATTATAGATTGAGTATTTAGGTTTACCTCTTAATCCTTCTCACCACCACAAAAATGAGTGGTGGAAAACCTAACCTATAGTGGTTTATGAAACTACTTGTGATAATAGAGAAATGAACAAAATATAGTGAAAATAAAGGAAAGGGTACATTAATCCTATTATCTAATAATAATAATAGTGAGTATAACTCAACTCAAATTGTATGTTTATGACAAGTGCTCATTTCATCTATTCTACACTGACTTTTGATGCACTTTTGAAATGAAATTGCTAACACTAATACAATTATAATGCATAAATGTGTGTAGATTGTCTTAGTTTGCAAGTAACAAAGTCTCATGAATGTATTAATTGTACAACAATTAGTTGGAAAAGAGGGTATGACACAAAGTTTTACATTCTAGAATGGCAATACTAGCTTAACTAGTCCATTTGCATTCTAAAATGTCAATACTCGCTCAACTAGTCTATTGTGAGAATTGAATATCTCCCTCAACCACCGAAAATTCTTTCTTTTAATGTCTATAAATTAAGGTTTTTAGTCCCTAATACATTGTGTCATTTGACGAACCTCATTTTTCGTCCAAAGTTGAATTACATAAATGTATAGTTGAAAATTATATTAATTATATATAGTTTGATTTGTGTGGCACATTTATTATACCCAATAATAAAAGGGGTAGGAAATGTACGGATCAAGTAATATTTTTGGGATTGAATTGGAATTGACATTAGACGCAAAATTTGTACATTTTCCTTCAACCAGTTTTACACCTTTTTTTGGATGAGCTAATGGATAAATTTTCATGATATTAACTAAACAAAACATTGAGAAGTAAAGTAGTAATTGAAGTCAAGACTTTTGAGTTGCACAAATTCATTACGCATACAAAACTAGATAAGAACTTACGAATCTCCCAATTTAGAATTAATCATTGACCATTTTCTGTGATAGCTTCCAAGTTCCAACCCCTGTACAGAAAAAGGGGTACTGATTAACACCAATAGTAAATGAAATCAGCCGAGAAAAACAAAATTTAAAAAGAGCAATCACCTTTCTTCTGCTTCATGTTTCAGTCCTGTTAACTGAGCTTCGCGAAGCACACGCCGCTTGGATGTCAATATTTTTCTGACAGAGCTCCTTCCATTGCATGGACAAAGCGTTAAGCTCGTATGCCGTATTTTGCTGACAATAGTGGAAAATGGCGTTGTGAGTAATTGGTTAACAGAGTTTTGACAAATAACAGAGAGGGGTAGACAAGAAAGTCATATTACCTGATGATATTTCCTTTCACGATTTACTTTTTCGATCTTTTCATTTTGTTCCTGAGCTAATTTCTGCATTCTGAAAATAGATAACACTAATGTAACCAAGACCATACCAAACATGAAATATGCAGGCAAAGAGCGGGTCTTACCTTGTTCAACATCTTTATCTATTTACTATTATAAGTGAGATGAACCTATATGAATGACTAGTAAGACAATAATCTATAGAACTCAGGTCAAAA